GGCCAATTGTCTACTCCTGTCTGAAATCTACTTTCTCTACCCATATCTCCTATCTGGATCCATGCTGCACCCATTTTTATTTCTTCCTTTCTATAATTAATAAGCAATTCATCAGAGTAGAAGATTAGTTTTTTAACATTAGATCTCAGGTTACGTTGAAGTATTTCTATTAGGTGGTCCTGATATACTCCTTCTATAATATTGTCTCTAATTATAACCTCTTTCCATCTTTCGATATCTACCTAATTCACTATATTGGTTGGAGCTAAGGTTTGAGGGTTTAGATCCATATTAGTAATCTTTTCCATTGTTCCTTCTAGTGATGCCTCAATGGAAAATGTTATTAATGTATAGTATCATTATATAAATAATATCAAATAAATTATAAATATAATTAATTTTTTAAGCTTATGAGTTTTTATTAATTAGTTAATAAATAGTTAATAAATCATTAATAGAATTGGTATAAAAGTTTTATTAAATTGTAAATAAATAATTTTATAATAAATTTTTGTTAATAAATAATTTTATAATAATTTTTTATTGAATTGTTAATAAAATTTTATCAAATTATTAATGAATTGCCAATAAATTATATGGTCATATATTTTATCACTATTTTACTAGTAATATTCTGGGTACCATTATTTAAAAAAATTTTTGATCAATTTTTATTAATAAATCTGACAATAATTCAATTGCTAAATAACACAATTTTGACTGGTGTAACTTAGAAGATGTCTCATATTTTTAAGTAGTAAAATTTCTTTAACCGATAATATGCAACAATAAATAAATCATCATGTAATTAGTTAATATATGATTTTAGATTATCTCAATAAAGATACACCAAGATGGTATTTGCAGGTTAAAAATATATACAGTATATACAGCATATATAGTATATATCAATAAAGTTTAATACATTTTGCCAAAGTAATAGTAATAATTGTATATAAATTGTTTACATGAAAGCATTACTAATACAGGATTATAAATACGTCATTAAAAAGGAATATGAATCAACGCTGCTTTGCTATAAAATAAAAATCGTATTCGATTTAATGATTTTGGTAGCAACTTGTGAACTTGGTTTGATTGTTCAAAATAATAGATTGCACGGGGATATCATAAATATTCGCAAAGCCCTCAAATTCCGATGAAAGAAATAAAGCACATTTCGTACAGGTTACAAGTTGGCTGAAAATCTATAGCATATTCGGTATAATTATTTTACGTTACGGAAGGCCTCGGAATTGTAGAAATTAAAGAAAAGAAACATTAATAATTATATTCTGTGTTACATTTACAGTGTGGTCTTAATAATAATTGTCTTTGCAAAATTAGTATATATAAGCTGAGAAAAATCCATTCCTACAATATCCTTTCCGCTCATTCCATCCTCAGAAATTTTATTAATGTCCGATAACCATATAGTTTCCAAGTATAAGTTAATCTGCGATACGTATAGGATTAGACGAAGTCTAACCGATCAGCCTACGTCAAATGTCCCTCTTTGGTTATTTAGAATTTTCTGTCGAGAAATCAGAGACATAGATGTTTTTGATTTGAAAATCGTTATAATTGCCAGAAATATTGGGTTAACAAAAAAATTGTACCCAACTTCTTATTCACGAGCCATATCTCGAAGGATCTGGCGAAGACTAAGTACAGACGAACGGGCTGTCTACTTAGAGCTTGCGAAAAAGGAGAATAACCGCAGATCGATACGCAGCAGAAGAATACACGAATTTGAAAAGATGAGTCAGGCAATGACATCAAATGAGATGATGAATTTTTGCGGGAGCCACGCCTTCAACGAGTGTCCTGATGTAGTTCCGGCAGTTCCAGAAAATAATATACTTACTGGTATTTCTTTTCAGGAAACATTGTTCTTATAAGTTGAATTGTTAACAACATTTAATTTTGCGCAAATATACTGTATATTTAGACTTCACATAATTCATTTATTATATTAATTTCTATAATACTAAGTTTATATCGCATGTAGATGTGATTATTATATGTAAATATGATTATTACATACAGTAGATATGGTCATTATGATTAAGTGTACAATCAAATATTCTTTTAATGCACAATAAAAAAAATCACATATTAATTTTCTAACCAAGAAAACCTTTACAACATACTGCACGTAAAAAATACGAAAATTTTGAGCGCAGAAATTTATTATTTACTTTTTACAGCTCACTATCATTTTGATTTATTGAAAAAATACAATCAATGAATTTAAAAAAAATTTCTTCAGAAGGCATTCTCTAACATGATAACGGTTAGTCGTTTTCTTATGAAAGCTATCGGGCGTTCATTCGATTTCTTTTTCGAAAAATATGGCTATTACATAATACTTGGTTATGTTCCATGAGGAAAACAGTATCTTCATTGTAAGGATGCATACACAGGTAGATCTTTTTACAATGAAAAATAGTGTGGTATACAATTTGTCAAATTCCATAAAGGAACGAAACCAATTCCACACAGAATTGCGGATGGAATTTCTTTAAGTGCGAACTTCAAAATGCTTAACGCCTAATGCTTAATTAAAAATTCTTCAAAATCGAAACTCTTCCGACCGTTGTGAAACTTAGGATGATTTGTCATTCGTAATCT